GTATAACTTAATGGGTTAGCAGGGTCTTGTTCTTCTTCTACTTTCCCTGTTGATACCTAAAGCATAAAATGCATTTGTGTAAGACTCAATCGAGAATGCATTTGTAATTAAAAAATAACTAATACTTTAATTTTTTTGTCCTTTTGGTCTAAGTTTTGAAAGTATCTGAGACCATGACATTGAGTCCCTGAAACAGTATATATTTTTTTTAAAAAAATTTTTTTTACTACTGGTGAAAGAACCCAGGGGCTTTTGCACTGAACTACATCCTCAGCCTTTTTATTTTTATATTTTTTGTTTTGAGACAGAGTTTTCACTAAGTTGCCTAGGGTGAGCTTGAACATGTGATGCTCCTGCCTCAACTTCCCAGAGCAGGGATTATAAACATACACCACCACACCTGGCTCATATATCATAGCAGGTATTCCTCTAAGCAGAGCTCAGCTATGCCTCAAAATTGCAGCTTGGTTTTTCTTGTTTAACCTTATTTGTCCTGCTTTGGAGTGACCAATCTTACCTCCACCCTCTAGCTTCAGATAAAGTTACAAAATTACATTGGAAGGATTAATATGCCAGTTCTGCTATTCAGAATGTGATAGATTTTCAAATTTATGTACAAAGTCTCTTGTGCATCATATTAGGAAATGGAATAAAAATATAAAAAGTTCCTAGGGCTCTGTTTGTCTTTTCAAAATGGTTAGCATCGCCAGTGCCTCTATAACCAAGCTTCATCTCAGAGCCCTCAAAAATCAGGACCACCTCCCAGGAGGACCTCCTCTCACCCAACAGGACCACAAAGCTACTGGAGAACACCTACCCATGAGATAAGGCTTTTTCCTTCACCAGGAATGACCTTGGCCATCCACCCAGCCCTGTCTGGGGATCGGCCTTATCTCAGCCCCTCCCCAGCTGGCCCCAAACTCCAGTTGGTCAAACATCTTGTCCTTTGTTACCAGAACACTCCAGGTACTTGCAGTATCTCCACCTTTGCACCTGCTGTCCTTCCTTCCAGAAAGACCTGCCTTCCTTATCCTTGTGGCAAATTCCTGCTCTGCTCTCTAGCGCGCAGCTCCAAGGTCTACTCCTGCATGAAGCCCTCTCACCCTTCTCGCGTGGCCCACAATGGGGTGCCACTGACTGGGGTGATGTAAACCATAGACATTTGCCTTCCACAGCTTTGGAGGTTGGAAATCTGGGATCCAGGTTCCATTATGCAGCACGGTGGGGTTCTGGTGAGGTCTTTCTTCCGGGCTGGCAGATGACAATCTTCTCTCCCTATGCTCATATAGACTTACTGGGGGGGGGGATTAAACCCAGGACTTTCACATTGACCTACAGCCCTCTTTATTTTGAGATATGATCTAGATAAGTCGCCCATGCTGGACTTGAACTTGCAAACCTCCCATTTCAGCCCCAGAGTACCAGGACATTCCTTATAAGGTCACTGATTCTACCTGATTAGGACTCTACCCTTGGGATTTCATTTAACTTTACCTCTGAAAAGCTTTATCTCTAAATATTGCCACATTGGGGGTTTTGAATTTTGAAGGGACCCAATTCAGTCTATAGTACCTTTCCAGACAATATTGGTGGCAGCCTCCTCCAGAGCCCCATATTCACCAGGGCAGGATGTCCCTTCATCACAGCGCATCCATTCTTTTATTTGTTTGAGACAGGGTCTCCCTACGTAGTTCGGACCGGCCTTGAACTCACTAAGTAGCTCAGGCTGGCCTCAAAATAGCAGCAATCCTCCTGCCTCATCCTCCTAAGTGCTGGGACTACAGACAGGCACCACCACACTCAACAACACAACCATCCTTAATCCCCATTTGTGTCTCTAACACACTGGATGAGTTAATGACAAAGCCCTAACCTCTGCTCTCCCGCGTCCCCTCTGGCCATCAGACTTAGTCTGACCTGCTGCCCCCTGCCGTGTTCTGGGCCCCTAGAGGACAGGGGCCACTTCTACATCTTCTAGGGGCACTGCGTCTCGCACAGAATGGGCCTGGGTGAATCCTGTTTCTGCTATAGAAAGGCCTGCCGCCCTTGGGGTGGGACCCACTCCCTGCCTCTCTCAGTCCACACACTCATCAGGCCCCCTTATCCTGGGAGGCCTTATTCCCAACACTGGGATTTCTTCCAGTCCTAAAACAAGTGCCTCTCCCTGCACAGGCAAGGGCAACTGTGAGCAAATCAGGTGTCACTTTCCTCCCTGCATCTCTGCTGCTAGAACAGGACATCAGCAGCATACTTGGTACTACAAAAAACAAAACAACAACAACAACCACAAAAACCCTGAAAATCCCTTTGTTCTGATTTCCCTGCAGCTCTCTCTCTGCAGGTGCAGGGTGTGTTAATGGACCCAGCATCTGGAACCGAGGCGACCCTCAGCTTGCATCAGATTGTTTAATGTATATGCTTTTTTCTTCCCTCTGCCCAAATGCATCAAGTTTAAAATATCTTGTTTATGAGCTCCGGACCCAAGATGAAGCAGCTGGGTCATTAATTATTGGGAATATGTTGAATAGGAACTTGATTAAAGCACAGATGCATTCCCCAGACAAAGTTGTTCTTTGCTTGACCGCAGTGGAAGGTTGGGGCTCCCGAACCATGTTTTCAGCTGCGCCTCCTTTAGGGCCCTGGGAGGGTCGTAGCGTCTCTCCAGACCCAAGAAAGCGCTCCGTGGGCTCTCCACCTGCAGACCGAAGATTCCCAGGCAGGAACACCTCCAGCCAGCACTAGGGGGTAGGGAGGTGGGGAGACAACGATCCGGGCTCGAGAGGCAGCAGGGGCTGAGCCAGGCGGAAGCTGGAGACTTGAGTGCTCCCGAGGCCCTACCTGCCCACCACCGAACCTCGCCCTGGGGCGGGCCGCCACGTGGCAGGGAAGACAGCGCCGCAACTCCAGCGTCCGCAGCCGTGAGCACGGGGTCGGCACGTGCCCTGAGAAACCCAGGATCTTGGGGATCCTGCGCCCTGCGAGCCAAGCGGCAGAGCTCTCCTAAAGCCCCTTGGCCCTGGCTCTCTGGACACCCAGCTCCAGCCGTGGGCCTCGTCCCTGAATTGGCAGGGAGGGACGAAAGCTGCGGCTTCGAGCCACTCTGATTATGGGATCCGCCACGGGCTCCTGGTCCTGAAGTCAAGTCCTCCCTGTCCCCGTGCCTGCCCTCTTCCCTGCCCTCGCTCGGGTGTCCAGCTCGGCCCGTCTCGGGGGACCACCTGCCCATCCGGAAAGAAGAACTTGGCCGAGATCAGCACCGGTCTCGCGCGCCTTAACAACGCCCGCGCTCCGGCCTGGAGAAGTAATTTAAAAGAAAGTTTTCCAGGGCGGCTGGACCGGCTCGGTCCGCCAAGCTCCCTAGTCGCGGCCGCCTCTGTGCCCCGCAGGGTCCTAGTGCCCTGCGCTACGGCGCCCGTGGGACCTCGCAGCACTGTACTCAGAGAAGCCGGGCGGGCGAGAGGGGCTTCTGAATGGCATCTGAAGGGTCGCTTGGGGAGCAGAACTAGCAGCCGCCGAGTCTCCGCGCTCCGGGTCTCTCCCCTCGGCTGTGCGCACAGTGCGAAGCGTCGGAAGCCGTCTCCACCGCTCCGCGCTCTGTGACAGACACCGAGGTCTGGGACAGGCCTGGTTCTGCGGACCGAGACTCCTCCGCCGATCCCCTGCGCGGCCTCTCGGTGCTCCGCGCTCTCCGGCTGTTAGCTGGAAGTGAATGCTTCGGGGAGGCCAATGGAGTGGGCAGCCA